AATTAATTACCGTGGCTGGCCTTCTCTGCCTTTCTTTTTCATAAACCATATATATATATATATATATATATATGAAGAATTCTTGGGAATAAACTACCGTGATCGACCATGAAGAATTCCTTATGCCAGAGAAATTCAACTGTAGAATCCACAATTGGCGTTAGCCAACCTTATCTTCTTGATAACGCTTCTGTTCTCTTCGGTTGCAGAAGAGGTGGATATGATCTAAGGAGACTGGAAGCTCTCAAAGTGTATCGGCAATCGACAATGAGAGATTTGCACATGAATATAAAGAATCAATCGGAAGCTTTCGAGTTGCATCTCACCAAACAATTGTCAAAGATCATGTGGATGGGAAAAATTGCCCTGTTCTTGGCAATAACTTCTATCGAGGACTTAAATTTACAATTGGAAGAAGAGTTGGATGGATAAATACTAGTTGGATTTGGAAGAAGATCCCTCTACAAACACCACAATTGGAAGCACCAGCGTGTTTTTTCTTTTTACATCATTTGTTGCACTTAATGCACAAGCCATCTCCGAATATTCTATTTTCAAATCTCTCACATTCAATTATAAAACTTGGTTAGTTAAGGCAATTGGCATTGTGCTTTGGAGTGTTTGGTTCCATATGTTCTATCCCAATCCCAAAGATAGCTCACTACCTTCTACAAATAACAAAGGAATCAATAGTTTAATTTTGATAGTTGTAAATGCTGCACAAGTGATTTTCACATTCACATTTGCTCTTACCATATTTCCTGTGGTAGATAATAAAGACTAGTTATTTGTAGTAATTAGTTATGTTGTTTTGTATTTTTTTATACGAAACTTTTTTCCTAAAGATTTGTCACCTACTTCTACAAATACCAAAGGAAACACAGGCACGATTTGGTCATTGTTATCCATCACCAAATGTGATATTGTGGTGTTGGCTGGTTTGGAATCTCACATGCAATACAGAGAATGGGTAATTGTAGTAACCTATTATGTTCTTTGGTTGGTTTAGTTAGGTAGGTCCTGTCCCAAAGATATGTTACAATTCACCATAATTGAGTTTAAAGCTCCACAGTTGTGGAAATTGATGGTGTAATCCACAATTATAGATGTCATACCTTGGATCCAACTATTAACAACAAGGCATCATCAACAACAAGGATGATAATCTTGTCCACTAAGTGGTAAGTAGTTGGATGTATGGAAATTTTTATATTAATTCCTATGCCATTTTCTTTTTTCAATTTATATGTTTATTATATCTAGTATCCTTATTAAAACCCATTGATCATCTCTAATCTTTTAGTCATTTGTGTTTTCATTAGTTTGAATTTATTGCAGCTAACCTTTTGTTATATAGATATCAAATGGCAAACCTTTATCTTATTTTCATACATCTAATAATAATGAGTTATACAAGAAATGATAGCACTTCTCTTTCTCTAAATCCATTTTCACCCGACTCAATATTCGAATTTGAGACCTTTAACTTTAAATTTTAAATTCTTAACTATTAAATCACTACCTTGAAAGTTCATTTACCTTATTTTAAGATGAATAGTTTTTTACCATCTAATTCATACATACTAATAAATTGAATTCTCTACAAATTAACGCATGTCTTCATCGGTATAACCAGTGAGAAATCAAGTGTAGGCCCTTTTTTTCTCTTAACCTTAACTCTAAGAAATTTTTTCTTACTCTATCAATAGATTTGTGGTAGGGCTTTTGGTTTTTATTTTTAACAACCTTGCTCTTAAATCTTTTCATTTCTTATTGTATTTCTTATTCTTTTGAGGTTGGGTAGGGCTCACGCCTAACCCAACCTCCGAGTAGTTGTGTCCCTACTCGTCTCACATTATAACTCTATAAGTTATCTTAAAGAATCAATTCGAGGGAAACCGAGTCTCCCTATGGAGAAGAGATCCAATTTCACTTGCATGACTTTGCTCCATTATGTAATTGCAATACTGACTTCATGATTGTGATGTCTTTATCATTTCCTCTCAAACCCACAAACTACTTGGATTTGTTACAAACCCACGTTTGTGCTTTCTTTTGATCTTGTAACCATTGGAGTTTATCCATTAATTAATGATAAACAAACACATGTTTCTATAATATATTATTATGATTATTAAAAAAATAAAAGTAAAAATA